AATCCTATGTTTTATAGAGGTGGAACCCATTTATATAGATCTTCTTAGTGTGCAACCTAGTGGACCATTTTCTTAGGAACATGATCTGTTGACCTATCTCTAATTTAGACTTCGTTTGGTAATTAATTTTGTTTTGTTTTGTGCTGTGTGTTTTTTTTTTTAAAACATAAAAACGTATTTGTGTTTGTATTTTCCTTTTTTTTTTTTTCAGCTACCTTATTTTAAAAACAAGCCCCAAATCTCGAAACACCAAAAATGGTTTTTCTAAAAGGAAAAATGTTATTTGCACCTAAAAAATTGATATAATTTATTACTTAATGATGTGAATTCTTTGGAATTATTGAATTAACATTAAATTTTAATATTTAATTAAATTCACAATTAATCTAAAAATTATAATAAATTAAATCAGCAATTAACGAGGACTCAATAGTGTTTCCCATTCTAAAAACACACAAAAAGAAAAACACACGCGCCGCCTGAGGTCCATTTAACGAGGTCTAGGTTTCGAATCCCATTAGCTGCAAAGGTACCAAAACTGAAAGTATAAAATCCCAATTCAGTTACCTCTCCCGCCTCTGTCTCCCTCTCCCGTTTGTCACTGTTCAGCCTGAGGACGAAGAAGACTCCGCCGGAATTGCTCAGATCTTCATCTCTCAACCTCGATCCCATCTCAGATTTCTTCAGCCAGAGGATTCGACTGCCACGAAGGTGAGTTATAAAATAGATCTACTCTCTCTCTGCATATATATACATAGATCTATGTATATATATGCATATATATATATATATACATAAATCTGTGTCTGGGCGTGTGTGTGTTTCTGCGTTTGTGGGTGTGTGTGGTTCTTCGTTTGTGTGCGTGTTTCTGCCCGTGTGTGTGTGTTTCTGGGTGTAAGCGTGTGTTGGTGTGTGGGTTCTTCAGTGATCTGTCCATGACTCTTCTTATTTTGCATCAATTCATTGAATTTTGGATTTTGCATGCAAGTTGGTGTTTGCAAAATTGTGGGTCATCTTCTATCACATCTCCTTTGCTTTTTTTTTTTTTTTGGCATGTTATTTGCTGTCGTTGGGTCTGTGAGACGACTGTGGGTTCTGGTGGAGCAAATTGTTTCGAATCTGTGACTTGCCCGAGTTGTACCGATTTTGGCTGAGACGGAACCGATTCAAACTCGACTGGGGATTTTTTTTTTTTTAACGGGTATCGGTATTGTAACGGTAGTGGCCGAGGCGGATATTACTCGACCGAGTCATATCGATATCGGTCTTTGCCGATACCTTGAACCGTGAATCCTAGTGCCATTGTTTATTCCCTTGCTGTGCTGATATTTCATTAACGAGAATTGGCCAAGTCTTGTTTCCATTTGTTCTTTTAGGATCTTATTTTCAATTTTCAGGAGGCCCAAAAGGAAAAGTAAAGATGTATTTGGTTTCTTTTATACATCATTGTCCAAGAAAATTTGCAAAACTAAATTTGTTAATCAAATTACTAATATTGTCATTTGCTTCGATATGTTTAGAAAAGAGAAGGGAGAGCGCCAGGTTAACTCATCTCTTTTTTTGGGTTCAATAGTTTGTATATGTAGATATTTACTCCAATATTGCCTTTTATTCATGGTCTTCGTACATTTGTAACTGTTAGACTTAGTTTGAATTATAAGCATAGATTCAAAATGATTTTTTGTTATATCTTTGCTTACAATATGGTTCTGATGTGGATTTCTATTGCATTCCGTAGGCATGGAGGAGCAGTTTACACTCCGAGTTCCACCTTCTGTTGCTGAGCGAATAGACTTCCTTTTGAGTGAGAATGCCTCTTCTTCTGAAGACAAATCATTGGATTTATTTTTCTCGGGTGAGAATATGCGTTCCCTGGTTGAAAAAACGTAAAATTTATAGTAATGCTTACATTTGTTTCCAGAGCAGTGTTGATAATTGTCAACTATGAAGCAAGAACACTCAATTTATACTCACGTATCAGTGTTTGACACGTTTGGTACATGGACATGCCCGAACATGTCCCGGACATGTGAAAAATGGTGTCAGATTTTTTTTTCCTTTTCATACGCGTCTCGACAGGTTTGGGATTCAATCGGACGCGTTTCTTACTTTTCCTAATCTGATGAAGATGAAGAAAGCTAGAGAGAGAGGAACGAGGGTGGCTAGAGAGAGACAGAGAGAGAAGTTGTTAACGGTTCAGCGATCCAAAAAAAAGTTGCAGAAGGTTTTTTACAAAGAGGACAAGAGATTGCAAATTTATTTTTAGAGAGAGAGAGAAAGTGTGGGGGAGACGAGAGGTTCAAAATATTCTACAGATGAGAGGGGATGAGGCCTCTCTTTATCCACAGGAAGGAACAATGAATTAATGCTGAAAATATTTTGGTGGGCTTCAGCTGACTGCCATAAAAAATGAAGTGCAACGAGGTATTCTACAAGATGACTTATTCAATCATTATGATAAATAATGGGCTGCCAAGTGTCCTATCGAAGACTATTGTGAAATACTAGATCCAACAACTTCATTAAAGATTCACAGCAGTGGGTCCATGTTACTGACTCATGAAAAGATTTTGAAGCCAAAATTTTGACTGCCCAAATAACATTGTGTTTTGCCTTGGAAATCGGTTGATGATGGTACATCATCTGATCAAATAAAAAAAAAAATTGAATAAACAGCCATATTTGCTTGCTCAGCAATACAGTTCTCAACTTTGTTCACCGAATTCCCCTCTAAAAGTATCCAGCTGTTTAATGTTGCTGGAATTGTTTTTTGGTTTCCAGCATAATTTTAATGGACATCTTATTGATACGTGCACCACCATATAATATAATATATATAATTTATAAAATTATAAATTATTTGACGTGTCCTCGTTTTGTCCTAGTTTTTGGATATATTCCGTGTTCGTATTGGTCGTATCCGTATCTTGTGTCTGTGCTTTTTATATTGTCTATGTAACCAATTGTGTTTTCCAAGCCCTTGATTACGTGTGTGCTTTTCTATCTTGTTATTATGACCGCCATGTAAAGAGTGCTAAACCTTTTGCATCTCCTTGTCCAAATAACTTTATAGTTTTTTTCATTCGAGTATTTATTTTATTTACTTTTTTTAGTCTATTGGCGTGCCTTGTTTAGAATATGCACCGCTAGTCATGATTTACTCAAAAAGGGCCAAAATGGGAAGAAATAAATCAAACACATGGACAATTAGACCACTGAAATTAATGTAGCCAAGAATGAAGGAATTGATGACATAAGAGTTTGAATGACTCTATGTGACATGGTATGGGATTTTTAAACCAACATTTACTCTTCTGTTATTTTGACTTGCGGGGTATAGACAGTAGGTAGTTAGAATAGGTCTACATGTTGGTTGATCAGTAGGTTGGCTACATGAAAAGTTGAATTGGTGATAGCAATTTGTGCACGTGTCACTTGGTTGGGAAATAAGGCTAGGTGGAGATGGTTTTGTATGCATAGGCCCAAGCTAATAAAAGAAGGGTAGTCCTATGCACAAGACTCCCAGTACTACAGGCAAGGATCAAAATATCGTTTCTGCGCATTATTTCGGTCACCTAAGAAATAGAAACATTTTAAAAACAATTTTTAAAATGTTTCTATTTCTTAGGTGACCGCAATAATGCGCAGAAACGATATTTTGATCCTTGCCTGTAGTACTGGGAGTCTTGTGCATAGGACTACCCTTCTTTTATTAGCTTGGGCCTATGCATACAAAACCATCTCCACCTAGCCTTATTTCCCAACCAAGTGACACGTGCACAAATTGCTATCACCAATTCAACTTTTCATGTAGCCAACCTACTGATCAACCAACATGTAGACCTATTCTAACTACCTACTGTCTATACCCGCAAGTCAAAATAACAGAAGAGTAAATGTTGGTTTAAAAATCCCATACCATGTCACATAGAGTCATTCAAACTCTTATGTCATCAATTCCTTCATTCTTGGCTACATTAATTTCAGTGGTCTAATTGTCCATGTGTTTGATTTATTTCTTCCCATTTTGGCCCTTTTTGAGTAAATCATGACTAGCGGTGCATATTCTAAACAAGGCACGCCAATAGACTAAAAAAAAAAATAAAATAAATACTCGAATGAAAAAACTATAAAGTTATTTGGACAAGGAGATGCAAAAGGTTTAGCACTCTTTACATGGCGGTCATAATAACAAGATAGAAAAGCACACACGTAATCAAGGGCTTGGAAAACACAATTGGTTACATAGACAATATAAAAAGCACAGACACAAGATACGGATACGACCAATACGAACACGGAATATATCCAAAAACTAGGACAAAACGAGGACACGTCAAATAATTTATAATTTTATAAATTATATATATTATATTATATGGTGGTGCACGTATCAATAAGATGTCCATTAAAATTATGCTGGAAACCAAAAAACAATTCCAGCAACATTAAACAGCTGGATACTTTTAGAGGGGAATTCGGTGAACAAAGTTGAGAACTGTATTGCTGAGCAAGCAAATATGGCTGTTTATTCAATTTTTTTTTTATTTGATCAGATGATGTACCATCATCAACCGATTTCCAAGGCAAAACACAATGTTATTTGGGCAGTCAAAATTTTGGCTTCAAAATCTTTTCATGAGTCAGTAACATGGACCCACTGCTGTGAATCTTTAATAAAGTTGTTGGATCTAGTATTTCACAATAGTCTTCGATAGGACACTTGGCAGCCCATTATTCATCATAATGATTGAATAAGTCATCTTGTAGAATACCTCGTTGCACTTCATTTTTTATGGCAGTCAGCTGAGGCCCACCAAAATATTTTCAGCATTAATTCATTGTTCCTTCCTGTGGGTAAAGAGAGGCCTCATCCCCTCTCATCTGTAGAATATTTTGAACCTCTCGTCTCCCCCACACTTTCTCTCTCTCTCTAAAAATAAATTTGCAATCTCTTGTCCTCTTTGTAAAAAACCTTCTGCAACTTTTTTTTGGATCGTTAACAACTTCTCTCTCTGTCTATCTCTAGCCACCCTTGTTCCTCTCTCTCTAGCTTTCTTCATCTTCATCAGATTAGGAAAAGTAAGAAACGCGTCCGATTGAATCCCAAACCTGTCGAGACGCGTATGAAAAGGAAAAAAAAAATCTGACACCATTTTTCACATGTCCGGGACATGTTCAGGCATGTCCATGTACCAAACGTGTCAAACACTGATACGTGAGTATAAATTGAGTGTTCTTGCTTCATAGTTGACAATTATCAACACTGCTCTGGAAACAAATGTAAGCATTACTATAAACTTTACGTTTTTTCAACCAGGGAACGCATATTCTCACCCGAGAAAGATAAATCCAATGATTTGTCTTCAGAAGAAGAGGCATTCTCACTCAAAAGGAAGTCTATTCGCTCAGCAACAGAAGGTGGAACTCGGAGTGTAAACTGCTCCATGCCTACGGAATGCAATAGAAATCCACATCAGAACCATATTGTAAGCAAAGATATAACAAAAAATCATTTTGAATCTATGCTTATAATTCAAACTAAGTCTTAACAGTTACAAATGTACGAAGACCATGAATAAAAGGCAATATTGGAGTAAATATCTACATATACAAACTATTGAACCCAAAAAAAGAGATGAGTTAACCTGGCGCTCTCCCTTCTCTTTTCTAAACATATCGAAGCAAATGACAATATTAGTAATTTGATTAACAAATTTAGTTTTGCAAATTTTCTTGGACAATGATGTATAAAAGAAACCAAATACATCTTTACTTTTCCTTTTGGGCCTCCTGAAAATTGAAAATAAGATCCTAAAAGAACAAATGGAAACAAGACTTGGCCAATTCTCGTTAATGAAATATCAGCACAGCAAGGGAATAAACAATGGCACTAGGATTCACGGTTCAAGGTATCGGCAAAGACCGATATCGATATGACTCGGTCGAGTAATATCCGCCTCGGCCACTACCGTTACAATACCGATACCCGTTAAAAAAAAAAAAAATCCCCAGTCGAGTTTGAATCGGTTCCGTCTCAGCCAAAATCGGTACAACTCGGGCAAGTCACAGATTCGAAACAATTTGCTCCACCAGAACCCACAGTCGTCTCACAGACCCAACGACAGCAAATAACATGCCAAAAAAAAAAAAAAGCAAAGGAGATGTGATAGAAGATGACCCACAATTTTGCAAACATCAACTTGCATGCAAAATCCAAAATTCAATGAATTGATGCAAAATAAGAAGAGTCATGGACAGATCACTGAAGAACCCACACACCAACACACGCTTACACCCAGAAACACACACACACGGGCAGAAACACGCACACAAACGAAGAACCACACACACCCACAAACGCAGAAACACACACACCACAAACGCAGAAACACACACACGCCCAGACACAGATTTATGTATATATATATATGCATATATATACATAGATCTATGTATATATATGCAGAGAGAGAGTAGATCTATTTTATAACTCACCTTCGTGGCAGTCGAATCCTCTGGCTGAAGAAATCTGAGATGGGATCGAGGTTGAGAGATGAAGATCTGAGCAATTCCGGCGGAGTCTTCTTCGTCCTCAGGCTGAACAGTGACAAACGGGAGAGGGAGACAGAGGCGGGAGAGGTAAATGAATTGGGATTTTATACTTTCAGTTTTGGTACCTTTGCAGCTAATGGGATTCGAAACCTAGACCTCGTTAAATGGACCCAGGCGGCGCGTGTGTTTTTCTTTTTGTGTGTTTTTAGAATGGGAAATACTATTGAGTCCTCGTTAATTTGATTAATTTGCTGATTTAATTTATTATAATTTTTAAATTAATAGTGAATTTAATTAAATATTAAAATTTAATGTTAATCCAATAATTCCAAAGAATTCACATCATTAAGTAATAAATTATATCAATTTTTTAGGTGCAAATAACATTTTTCCTTTTAGAAAAACCATTTTTGGTGTTTAGAGATTTGGGGCTTGTTTTTAAAATAAGGTAGCTGAAAAAAAAAGGAAAATACAAACACAAATGCGTTTTTATGTTTTAAAAAAAAAACACAGAGCACAAAACAAAACAAAACAAAATTAATTACCAAACGAAGTCTAAATTAGAGATAGGTCAACAGATCATGTTCCTAAGAAAATGGTCCACTAGGTTGCACACTAAGAAGATCTATATAAATGGGTTCCACCTCTATAAAACATAGGATTAGATTTTAGTACTATATATCTTTTTTTTTTTACCTAATCACAAGATGACATGTAAAAAAGAAATTATTATTTTATTTTATTTTATTGTTTCAATGACTAAAAATAACTCAAATCAAAATTAAAGGTCAATGATTATTTAAAATTCAATTCACGATCCTAAAATATAAGGTGAATGACATTTGCAACTAAAAGATTCTCAAGTCTCAATTTATATACCGAAAGTTCAAAAATCTCAAATTATGCCATTAGTTATATATAAAAAAAAAGTATTAATTTATACTACTTAATGTAACCATACATAAAAAAAATTTAAATGCTAACAATATACCTAAAAATGTACATAAATACAACATAATCACAAAATGTCCCTTCAACTCCACAATTGTAATTGAGTACACTCTTTTAATTGAAGTAAATTTTCAATCTAAATTGATTATATCAAGAATTACTTGGTACTTGAACCATTCCATTACCTTTGGTATTCTTGTGTCTTCTTGGTAGTACTAATTGATGCAAACGTGCGTTGCATTTTAAAATTTTGAAAATTGTGAATTGTAATTTTTTTTATCGATGTTACGGCTATAAAAATAATATCTAGGTATTTTAACCCATATATTGATAACTTACGTGTGTAATGGAGGTATATATTTAATTATCGTTTTTTTATATATATTTTAATTATCAAGACTCAAAATAATTAGCACGAATAAATAGCGATGTATAAACAAAAAATACTTCATATTTGAACAGGTCCAGACCACTTGAATTTGACTAAGGTGAGGACATAAAAACTTTAGTTGGTTTACCATCAAATAGCATTATCATAAGGAAAATGCCATAACCAACCAAAAAAAAAAAAAAGGAGGAAAATGCCATTTTTATCAAATTTGAGGACCTAATTTACTATAACTATTAGATTGAAGGTGGATTTCATTTAACATTAAAACTCACAATTAATCCAATACTTGTATTTAATTAGATCCCAAATTAAGTGTCTATAGCATTGCTCTTATACTAAACAGTAGTGTCAAAATATATTTTTTATTTTACTTCGTGTTGACAAAAACAAACCATTTCAAAAAAATTAAGGCTCCAACAACCTGGGTACACCCGTATAATCTACAGAGTGATCAGGCCAGATTAGTTCCAAATGATAAACAAGATGGTCAGAAGTATAGAGGTCCTAAATTTCTAGGTGTGAGGTCCAAAATGCATGACTAAACGCACACACCTATAGAAACTACTGCTAAAGATTAGTATGGTTTTGTGTCCAGCACAAATAGAAAATCAATGCTTTGTATGTTCCATTCCACTAAGAAAACTCCTAAATCAGTAACTTGAAACAGCTGATACAATACTAATATATAAAAATAATTAGCGGCATAGTCTCGTACACACTACAAATAGTTAATGATTGTAAAATTAAGCACAAATATGAAGTTGGAAGGAATATATCACAGAAATTGATAGGTGTGAGATTGAATCCATCGGGGACATGACATAATGTTGACAAGAATAGTGTTCTTCTTGACAATGTAACTTGTGTCCTGTCCAATAAATTCAGCATTACATTTTTTCACATTTTTGTGTGTGTAAGAGAGAGAGAATACATTCTGTAACAGCCTCTCAGGCTTTCATTTAAATTCTTTGAAAAGTCATACTTAGAACACTGACCCCAGCTTATAACGACACTTACCAAACTCCACCACCAATATCTTATCTTCTTCCAACAACTCAATCTCCAATGCTTTGTGTAATATCTCAATAGGGTGCATCTTTAGGTGATCGTTGGTTCTTCATGGGCTTTCCAAGAGAAATCAACCAAGAGGTTTGGCCACTTTCAAGACAATGAGCCTAATATTGGAATTTTAACGAAGAAGAAGTGGGGAAGTGTATGAGGTGAAGGTCTTTTAAGAGAGACCTATGACTTTTCTACAAAGAAACAACTCTTAAATGAGAAGACAAACAACTGCAATGATTCTTTAAGGAAGCTGGGAAGTCTGTTAAATGTAAAGACCATTAAAAAGCCACAAACTGCAATTATATCTTGGAAGAAGAAAAGATGATACTTGAAAAAAGATCAATTAAATTCTTGAGCGGTTACATCTTAACTTGTTCAACTGAATGGGATATAATGAACCATAAAAAAATTGTTAATGTTAAAATAGGTAATCAAAAGTTTTTCTAAATAGCTGTCTTTTAATAGTAGTATAAATAAAGAATTGAGATTTATTAGTTTTTCATCCGGCATAAGGTTTTCTCACTTTTAACTAAAAGTTCTCATCTTCAAATTTCATACCATAGATATATTCACCAACCATACCTTAGGCATCCTTATACACACTAATTGCTCAGTTAGGTGCTCTTGCCTTCTCTCTCTCTGTGCATACGTATATATTTATGTGAATTCATGCTCTTGATAGTAACCAAGAGAAATTTGTTAGGTGCAAAGAAACTACTAAAAGCATGTTACATAACAAATCACCACTTTGATTTAGATTATAGGTTCAAATCAAAAATCAGTAGATTACAGTTTGTGGCCTTTTTTTTTCCTTTTCATTTTCATCTTTGGCTCTACTACAAGCACAAGATGCAGGCTAAATAAAATTTGGCATTCAATTGGAATGCAATTTCTTCTGGTTAGACAATTGTTAAATCAAGATTTATATTGTGAATCAGAATCTTAAATTTGTGAATCGTTAATCGTATCGAATCATGAATTGTAAGATTCGACACAAAATTCAAACAAAGATAAAAAAAATAACATATATATAGTTAAAATAAGCAATGTATTGAATTTTGAGTACTATTACATTGTAAAAATAATCAATTCACATAATCACGTCGTCTAAATGAAAAGAAGTTAGCCTTTATGGATAGAAAATGTGGGTTCGAATCCCACCATGATTGATTTTTATATATTATTTGCAATTTGCAAGCCAACTACAATATAAAATAAAGCATATATCAAGAGAATATGTATCTATCATTGATTCATTATAATTAAATATTTCAATCAAAAGTCAAGTTATGGACCTATCACCTATGGTCCCAAAAAATGAGAGGTGCATTGAATGACAACAAAAAATCAAGTTCTAACACTCATCAAAAAAATAGTAGTAGTCAATTTCTTCAATCTTCATTATCTCCAAGGTTAAGATCTTCATCAGCATCATCTTCTTCTACTTCAACCATCTCTGTTTCCTCATCCTCTTTCGTTTCCTCATCATCATCAACCAGTTCAATACTATCATCTTCATCAACATCTATCTCAACAACTTTAGCTTTGCCTTTTTTAATAGCATTTAAATTCTTTGGTCCTACAAATAATAATTAGTAAATGACTAAATGGCAAACAATATATAATTATATAAATATAAATATATAATAAACAATAAAGATTAAAGAATACCTATTTTTCTCTTTTTGCTAGAAGATGCACTTTCATCAAGTTGAAAACATTCATGAACATCCATCCATGAGTTGTCTTCTGGTAGACATGGATCTTCACTCTCAGTAATCCACTCATCATCGGATTCCATATCCGATAGACAAATTGGATCATATGTCTCATTCTTTTCTTTTCTTTTCAATTGTCTCATTTCAAGGTGAATGTTATACTTCACATAAACGATGCATTTAATCTTTGTTGCTTCAAGTGATTCCTTTTCTTGGAATGTACATGATCAAAAGCACTCCAGTTTCTCTCACTTCCTGTGGCGCTACACGTGAGACTTAATACTCTTATAGTCAATCTTTGGAGTTCTTTGCAATTATCGCCATAACTTTCCCACCACAAAACTATAAAAACACAAAGATTTAAACTAAAAAATATAAACAAGATACCTATATAAGTTAATTAAAAAAATATAATGTAAAAGTAAAACCATATTCTTTAATTCTTACCGGGTTGTTTCTTGTCTCTTGTTAACATGGCCATGCTCCTAGAAAATATACTGTCAGCCCTCTTGAACTTCTCTAGTTGCTTATCAATAGAGATTCTTGTTTTGATATCTGAGTACATTCTCTTAATGGTCTTATACAAGCCAACTTTTACTTCCTTATCGGTATTAAAATTTGAATCATATTGGAACCTAAAAAGAAGTTACTTGGGATTAAAATTTGGATCACAATTTATATATGAGTAAATGTAAATAACAAGTGTTTTTGTGAACTAACTTGGGATTAAGAAAGTACCCCGCTTCATGAAGTTGCATGTTCCACCTATCATCAATAATCTTCCAATTTTTTTCATACATTTTTTCCTCTCTTTTGAAATTTTGGGCAATTTCTTCCTTAGCCCTATCCATTGCTTCATATATATATATCCCATGGTCGGTTTAGTATCACCATTAACTAACATCAACACTTTAACAAGTGGAATCACAGATTTTAAGCAATATTTGATTGCTTTTCAAAAATTTTATCATACAAATTATGTTTTCCACTTTTTTAGCATCAATCTTTGAAGCAAAAGGCCCATTAGCCCAATTTTCCGATAAAAACATGCAACGAAGACAAGACTTTCTATCATCAAAACTTTTTAGGGTGAGAAATGCAGTGACAAATCTTGTAATTGTCGGTCGTGTCAGTTCCATGTTGTTCGAAAACTCTCTAAATTTACTAAGCACCCAAATATGCCTATAAATGAAAAGTGTTACTTCTTTGGCTTTTGAAATGGTGTCACGAAAAATTGGCATATCACCAATATCACTCAACATTAAATCAATGCAATGAGCGGAACAAGGAGACCAAAATAACTTCTTCCTCTTGTCCTCCAACAACCTACCGGCGGCTATATAAGCCAAAGCACTATCCGTCACCACTTGAACCACATTCTCCTCTCCAATCTCCTCCACCATTGAGTCAAGTAACTCAAACAACTTATTAGCATCCTTTATAACCTCGGAAGTGTCCACTGATTTAATAAACACCATTCCACTAGGGCTATTAAGAAGAAAGTTTGTGAGTGAACGTTGTTTCCCATCGGTCCACCCATCTGACATCAAAGTACACCCCATTTTCTTCCATTTCATTCTATATTTATCCAAACTCACCTTCACATTTTCCACTTCTTTCTTCAAACAAGTAACTCTAACCTCATGAGAGCTAGGGAGTTTTAATCCCTAGCCATACTCACCAACCGATTCATCATTTTATCAAACAATAGACTTTTAACTAAATTGAAAGCTAGTGCATGTTCATAATAGAAATGACATGTCTTAAATCACCGGTTGTCCTTTTTCACCAATTCATTTAATGTTTGTTGTCTTCCTCTAACACTTTTTCCCTTGCCTTTAATCACAAAAGCATCCATGGTTCGGGTCCCCCTTTCAACATCCTCTATTAAGCATTCATTAGGATCCTCATTTTTTCCTTTTGCACCTTCCTACATTTGGGAGAATTTGTTTGTAACATCCGGTGGACATTGGGTACATGGTGCTACATCAAGACGAGTCCCCCGCAAAATGATGTTTCATTCTACTCACACCATCCCATTTGTCAAGGCCACAATAATTGCACTTCAAGTGCATTTTATTATCACCCACACGAGAACAATGATCCCATGTTGGATCTTCATTCTTTTTCTGCTTCGTTTTTATATTCTTCTTTACCATTTTCAACTTCAGGTCTTTGAAAACAACAACAACTAAAAAGAGAAAAAAAAATAATAGAACATATAGTTTAGAACATATAGTTATTACAATTTTCAAGAAGCAAATAACAAAACATTACAAAATTTTCCATGGACATCAAACTAGCAACATTACAAAACATCAAACCAGCAACTTTTCCATGGACAGCCACAACACACAAAACAAATCAACACTTCATGGACAACCACAAATACCCAAACACAACTCAATACTCCATGGACAACCACAAACACCTAAAACAACCAAGATCATGGAATCACACTGACTCAACAACGAAAAAACAAAAGAAAATAAGAAATTACAGTAAAGCATTGAAAAAATAGAGCATTGATAAAGTGAAAATCAGAGCATCATTTGAAGTTTGAAACCCACATTCATATTGTTTATATACAGAAACCCTCATTCATAACGCCAAAATCCTCCACCCACAGGCCACATCAATGAAAAAAAAATAGAAATTAAGAAACTAAGAAACTACAATAATAAAAAAACAGAGCATAGCTTTTATAAAAATAGAGCAAAACTTGAAGAAGACGTAAGGCCTGTTGTAAGGTTGTCACTGTTTGGTTGCGGGTAAGAAGAAGAGAAGAAAAGAAAAGAAGAAGAAGAAAAGGCAGAGATATACCTTAGAGCTGATGAAGCTTCAGCGTGGTGTGGTGGGTCTTCTTCAACAGAAAACGATCTTTGGCAAAGTGAGAAAGAGAAAAAGTTTTGTATCTTATTTATTAAGGCTTGGGTCCTTGCAAAAAACGAAGTCATTTGACTACCTAAGCAGTCAAAACGACATCGTTTTGACATCTACGTTGGTTTAAAAAAAAGAGAACGAATCGTACGATACATCTGATTCGGTTCGGTTCGGTTTGTACGATTCGTTCTATTCACTTCCGATTCCAGACCCAAATCGATTCAACTATAAGATTCGAATCAACCACCCCATGAATTGAATCAAATCGTACAATTCGACTTGCGAATCGGACGATTTTAACATCTATCAAATAATGTCTTCACATATATCTCTTAACTCCCCTTAATCTTTGTGTTGGATATCTCTTGATATATCAAATAATGTCTTCACATGTCCAAGCCCAAGCAATACAAAAATAGCCAAGTAACCACCCATAGTTCAGAATATTCCTCTATAAACATTAACCACATTGGAACATATTAGGACAGGGTGACATATTGGAGGGTCAGTTTCAAGTTTCAATAGATTGTCAAACTGTTTTGCAGCTGCATAGCTATTTCTCAAATTGAGGAAAGCCTAGCCACTTCTATGTTGATTTTCAACACATGGCATATTGAATACAAAATAACAAAATCAACATCATAAATTGTAAAACCGATAGTAGTCGGTGGCCTTGTTTGCATTTATAACTATTGTGCATTACCTATTTATTGCACCTCAACATAAGATTTTCAAAAGAAATTGCTTATTTTTTGTTCGCCCAATCAATCTAAAGGAAAAAAAAAGTGCTCATGGTTTTTTTCGTTGGATGACAAAAATAACCAATGATGTTGAAGCAGCATCCTCATTTTTTTTCTCTTATTTTTTCCTAAGTTTTGGTTGTAACTTGGAAGCCTTCATCAAGGATGGAAAAGAAAGTCATAAGTAGATACACCCAATTTTTGTAAACCCAATGTATTCATAATTATCTATATATATATATATATATATATTAAGTTTTATGTGTTGGATGTATAAATAATGAGTTAGGGATAAATTATATAGGTTATATTAGAAGATATTAGGTATTTTTGATCTTATACTCATCTTTATGAGAAGTTAAGAAGAGAATAACTAGTTTGGATAGTTCAAAAGTGTATTTCACAAAATTTAGTGAATCAACTTGTAAATAGATCAAAACTATAGTCGAAGTTCTGACGGGAATTTGAAGTCACATCCGAACACCAATTTTTCGTTCGAACGGGGCTTAGCTACAATAGTTTTATTTTTTGACAGAAAGTCTGACAGAAATCGAGGGACTAGGAGCAAGGAACGTTTGAACGTCATTCACATTTGAACGAGACATGTTCAAACACAAAACACATTCAAACGTGAGTGTGATTTTTACAGCAACCAAGGACACATTGAATGTTCAGATTATGACCTTATAAATATTTCAAGGATGTCCATTAGGTAAGTTTCATCAGTCTTTGGCCTTAGAAATACTAGAAAGTGAGAGAGAAGGAGAAAACAAAGATTCAAAGGGATTTTCGCGTCGAGAAGGGGTCAAATAAGCTAGAGTTGCATCAAATAGCAGATTAAAAGTAGGATTCTTTCTCGAGTTCACTCATTGATGATTAGGGATGTATATATATGAAATTTGTTCATCTCTATTATGAAATAAATATTAGTTCTAGGATGTTTTAATGTTGTTTTGATTCTAAGTCTAGTTTATTAAACAAAATATATGATTTGTTATAAATTTACTCATTTTGATGATGAAACTCTAGTTCTTGAATTACAATTCGGTCATATGATGGATAAATAATGCTTGCGTACTTCTTGTAAGAAAATGATCAATTTTCTTAAAAGAATTATTTATTTTAATTCATAAATACAATTTTCTTGATTTCAAAAATCCTAGTTTTTGGTTTTGTTCAATGTAAAAGTGTTTTTGGAGATCTCTTGCATATTTCTTGAAATTATCATATCTTGAAAT